GCAGGAGAGTATGGAGGGATGGTCACTGGGAAGAGGTAATTATGGGGAGGAAGTGGGAGGGGAGTTGTTGCATTGTGGTAAACTGTGGTCAATGACATCAAAGTATATGTGAACTGCTGTATGGAAAGTGCATTTGCTCTGTAAATCTTCACCCAAATAAAGAAAAAAAAAAAAAAAAAAAACTGTGTCAAGTGTACTTGGAAGCAGTCTTATAGCTACCAATCTGGACATTCTATATTACATTGTCTTTAAGGTTCTTTCCAATCTCAGTTGTCTAAGATTCCAAACTCCTGTTGGGTGAATTCTTGAGCAGTTCGCTTATCATCTCTAGGGTTTTTCTTTGTACGTGAAATGAAGATATTGATTCCTGCTTGATTTACCCCACCATATTACTGTGAAACTCCAGCAAAATATTAAAAACTTTTTATAAATTATAGGACTTGCCAAATGTGAGGAGGTATTATAACTTCAAGGCAGACTACCCAGCCCAGAAGAAATAAGCACTTAAATGATTTATTAAAAAAAAAAAAAAAAAAGTCCTTCAGCAGGTCTATAGTACCTTACATTTATATTTCATTAAACGTCCAATCACATTGAAAAAAACAGAGAAAGACCTACCCTTCCATCCGGAGTTCTGGGACCAGAGTAGGGTGGAACCTCACCCATCAGAACAGGCCACACATCAAAAAATTCCTAGAAGTAAGAAAAAGAATAATTACATGTTTTGAATATAGTTCAAAAAAAAAAGAGACTAAGAAGTTGTCAATGCATAGGATAAGCCACCTATATAATTCATCTATCACTGAAATCTACTAAGTGTGAGAGCTCCTTGAAACCTAAGTGTGGACGGGCTGAAAGGCTCATGAGAGTTAAAGGACTTTGATCTCATTTGTTCTTGAAAATAAGGAGCTCTCAGCTGTTACATTGTGGAGAATTTCAGTCAGTGTCATGAAACAAAATGTGTATGAACTGCTGTATGGAAAATGAATTTGCTCTGAAAACTTTTACCAAATCACAATAAAAATTTAAAAAGGAAGAAAAAAAATAAGGAGCTCTGGTGACACAGTGTTTAAGACATTCGGTGGCTAACCCAATGGTCAGCTGTTTGAACCCACCAGCAAGCTGCTCCACAGAAGAAAGATGAGGCAGTCTGCTTCTGTAACGATTTACAGCCTTTGAAACTTTTGGCCAGTTCTACTCTATCCTGTGGTTCTACAATCGATGCCAATGGAAGCAGAAGTCAGGACATTAGAAGACATGTAGCATTGGGAAGGTCAACTGTGAAGGAACTGTTTCAAGTGCTGAGGAGCAAGGATATCTCCTTGAGGACTAAGGTGCGCCTGACACAAGCCATGATATTTCCAATCGCCTTGTATGCATGTGAGAGCTGGACAATGAATAAGGAAGAACGAAGAAGAGTTGATGCTTTAGAGTTGTGGTGCTGGTGAAGAATGCTGAAAGTACCATGGACGGTAAAAGAAGAGATCTGTCCTGGAGGAAGTGCACCTGAAATGCTCCTTGGAAGCAAGAATGGCCAGACTTCGTCTCACCTATTTCAGTCACGTTGTCAGAAGGGACCATTTCCTGGAGAAGGATGTCATGGTTGGTAGGGTGGACAGTTGACGAAAGAGGGAGAGGCCTTCAATGAGATGGATTGACATGGTGGCTGCAATTATGGGCTCAAGTATAGCAGGGATCATGGAGCTGGTGCGGAATCGGGCAGTGTTTTGTTCTGCTGTGCATGGAGTCGCTATGAGTTGGAAATGACTTGACGGCACCTAACAACAACACACAACAACTCTATCCTGTAGGGTCGCTATGAGTTTTTCACCCTTGCAAATATTGATGAACTGGGCCTAATTATTAGCCAAAAACATTGACTCTGAATTGGAAAACTCCCTCATTGCTGTGGGAGTTGAGAGGGATTATAGGGTGTCTATGACTAAGAAATAAATCTCAGGACCTGCTAAGTATGAGATCAAGGATTTAGCTAAAATGGTGTTGATTACAATATCATTTATAATAGTGAAAAATTAGAAACAACCTAAGCATCCAAAAAGAAGGAATTCAGTTTTGGTACATCTGTTAACAATGATGTTACAGATATGTATGTATTGGTTGAAAAGGTATTGATAATATGTTGATGAGTGAAATGGTGAGGTGACAAAAAGTATATAATATGGACCCAATGTTTTTTTCTTTTAAATTTTTGTTGCGATGTGGGTGAAAGTTTACAGAACAAGTTCATTTTCCATACAGCAGTTCATACACATTTTGTTCCATGACACTGACTGCTATTCCTACAAGGTAACAGCTCTCTTTGCACTTCCTCTCTGTAGTTACCTCCTCCCTGTGTCCTTCCCTCCCATGCATTCAACATGGGCCCAATGTTTAGCTATAAATAGAAAATTTTCTGAAAGAATTCACAACAAAGCATTAACAACTAGTTTTCTCTGGGTGGTTGGAATGAGACTATAATTTTTTTTTTTTTTTAGTAATGTTTTCATAATACAGGGAGCCTTGGTGACATAGTGGTTAAAGCACAGGGTTGAGAACCGAAAGCCTGGCAGTTTGAACCCACTAGCTGTTCTGAGGGAGAAAGACATGGCAGTCTGCTTGCATACTGATTTATAGCTTTGGAAACTCTTTTGGCCACTTCTACTCTGTCCTATAGAGGGTTGCTTTGAGTTGGAATCAACTTGTTGATAGTGGATTTGGTTTGTGGTTTTGGTTCCATAATACATCTCTTTTGCTTTTGTTATCAGGAAAAAAAAAATTCTATATAAGAAAGAAAACAGCAATGCTGCCAAATTTGAGCAGACAGACCATATCTATGGGAAAGTAGTGGGGAGGGATGAATAGGTGAACATAGGGTGTTTTTTAGGGCCCTGAAACTATTCTGCATAATACTGCAAAGGTGGACACATGACATTAAGCATTCATCAAAACCCACAGGATTTTACAACACACAAAGTGTGAACCCTATTGTGAACTATAGACTTTAGTTAATAATAAGTATCAATCTTGGCTCATCAGTTGTAACAAATGTTACCACAGGATTGCAAAATGTTGGTTGGAGAAACAGTGTACAGGTGAGAGGGAGTATATACAAACTATCTGTACTTTCTACACAATTTTTCTGTAAACCTAAAACCGCTCTGAAAAAATAAAGTGTACTAAACACACACACACGGTGCTGCTGAATATGGACACACAGACCTGTACCTGGAATCCAACGAGAAGGATGACAAGTGGCCAAGACAGTGGCAGAGAGAAGAGAAAAAAGGACCAAGCAAGAAGTGCATGGTCATACAGTCTCAGGAGAAAAAGCAGACTGGGAAGCAACAAAAGATTCTTTCCTGCTGCTTCTCCTCTGGTTTCCTTGTTGTGCATGGGCTACAAAGCTTGTATCGAGCAGATTCTGGGCCTGGTAGAGGAGTCTATCCTCAGGTGCCCTCTGTATTCATCTGAGGGTGTGTTCATACTTAGGGACAAACTAATTATTAGAGCTGAGTTATTGTGGGTAGGTATCCAAGCTCCCCTTGCTCCTTGACCTCAGTCTTATTTGAGCATGTTTGGCAGGGTGCTTTGCTTATTTGAATATTATCCAGAGGACCAACAGAAGTGAGTCCATATGAAATCCAGACTGCATTTCCCCACTCTCTGACCACTGAACTCTTGTTCTAAGAGCAGTAAGAAATTCAATTCAGGGTGAAAAATGTGAACTCGTAGCCTACCTGAGCTGCACAACATGCTTGGTACTAGCTATGCAGCAATAAATAGGCACAGTTCCCGCTCAGGAGGAACTTACTGTCTCAAGGAGGAGACAATCAAATACTCAAGTAGCTGTAACAAGGTAGATGGTGTAAGTCTAAAATAGTAATAGAGAATCCAAATGTTGGAGATGCTCAGAAGAAAAACAAGTATATTGGGCTGATAGCTTCTGTGGCCAGACACAGAGTGAGTCTGAAGATTATCCCAAGGAAAAGCAGAAGATGTCAAATAAGTGATTGAAGATGGGGAGATGGGGTATATTTATGATCTTCCTTCCTCAACAGTTTCATTGAGATATAATTCACACACCATAAATTTCACCAATTTAAAGCATACAATTCAATGGCTTTTTATCCAATTGCTCAGGTTAAGAGCTTTGCTACTTAGGAAAGCAGTTTCTTAAAGTGATTGTAAGCAGCCCAGACCAATTCTAATTGCTAGTTGTTCCATCTTTTGGGGGTGACTAAATCAGAATATGCTTGCTTAAATGTGGCTTTCCCTCTGACAGGGAATTCAAAAGGAATAGACAGCAGAATACTACAGCATAGAGCAGTCTGAACCTGTAGTCAAATCTCACAACACACCGGGTAATTTGAAATGAAGTCTTTCTAATTCAACCACTCAGAAATTCTTTTGATTAAAAAGAATCATTCATTTCTACTAATTCATTCACTTGCAAATGAGATATCAAAATGGTGGCATTTCAAAACAGTGGACAAAGCATTGACTATTCTTTAAATAAAGAAGTATGGGAGGAAAAAAATTTATCACTACCCTATACCATGTACACACATAATTTCCAGATGAATGAAAGATTCAATAAATTAACCAAAGCTATGAAAAATATTAGAAGAGAACACATAAGATTATTTAAGAGTATCTTTGTAGGACTGAGGTTGGAGAAGTCTTTCCTAAACAAAATCCAAAGCATAGAAGCAATGAAAGAAAAGGTAAACAAATTTGACTGCATGAAAATCTAAATCTTCTGTATGTAGAAAAATATCATAGATAAATCAATTCATCAGTCAGTGTTTCAAGTCATCCTCCCTTTCAGCAAGCAAGATTATATCATCTGCATATTGCAGGTTGTTGATGAGTAGTCCTCCAATCCTGATGCCACCTTCTTTTTCATATAGTTCAGCTTCTCAGATTATTTGCTCACCGTACAGATTGAAAAGTATGGTAAAAGGATACAACCCTGATACACATCCTTCCTGATTTTTAACCATGCATTATCCTCTTGTTCTGTTTGAACAACCACCGTTTGGTCTACGTACAGGTTTCTCATGAGCACAATTAAGTATTCTGGAATTTCCATTCTTCTCAATATTATCTATAATTTCTTGTGATCCACATAGTCGAATGCCTTTGCATAGTCAATAAAACACAGGTAAACATCTTTCTGGTAGTCTTTGCTTTTAACCAAGATCCATCTGACATCAGCATTAATATCCCTCATTCCATGTCCTCTTCTGAATCCAGCTTGAATTTCTGGAAATGTCCTGTCAATATACTGCTACAACTGTTTTTGAATTATCTTCAGCAAAATTTTACTTATATGTGATATTAATGATATTGTTAGATAATTTCCACATTCCATTGGATCACCTTTCTTTGGAATGGGCACAAATATCTATCTCTTCCAGTCAGTTGGCTGGGTAGCTGACTTCCAAATTTTTGGCCATAAATAAGTAAGCACCTCAATGCTGCATCTGTTTGTTGAAACACTTCAATGGGTCTTCTGTCAAACTGTTGTATAGAGATCCTTTTATTAGGCCATAAGCAGGACAAAGACAAAACAAAGACAGTCATCCAAATGAGGCAAATTGTCAGCATGTATCCAGTACAGAAACCAATAGAATCCACTGAGTCACAGTCATGATGTTTATTATATATAATAAAGGACAAATAAAAATCAT